AAGGAAGGGAAACGCGCCTGCGCGGCGAGCTCCTTCATCAACGCCGCCTGCAAAACGGGTTTGCGGGCCCCGCCCAACCCCGAAAAAAAAGGTCGCGCCTTCTCCTCCTCCAGGACCGAGACCCGCGCTTCCGCTAGCGGGTCTCCGCGGCGGTGAGCTTCTCGTCCTGACAGGAAAAAAAAAGGCCGACATCCGAACGACGAAGAACGCGCCTTGACGGCGAGCTCGACGCGTGCGCGGTCCTGCCAGGCGAGCGGAAAAAAAGGAAGAACGAAGGGAAAAAACGCGCCTTGGCGGAGTTGTACTCCGCCTCGCGGCGGCGCTTGGAGGGCGGAGGCCTCCACAAGCGACGCAAAAAAAACGAGGAAAAAAAAGGCGAACGACGAAGAACGCGCCTGCGGCTCGGCCCCCAAGCCGCCTCCTGGCGGGCACGGAAAAAGAGGGAAACCCTCCCAAAAAACCCTCGGCCGTCCTCCCAGCCGCCGCCCCAGCCGGCCGAGCCGCCGGACCCGTCCCACTCCTGACAGGCGTGAAAAAAAAGAAGAAAAAAAAAAGGCGAGGGCAAACCGGGCCTTGGGCGGCTCCCACCACCCTGTTGATGAGTGTTCAACAACAGGGATCCCAAAGCTGACTCGCGCCCCTTCCCCCTTCGAAGCTAACAACAGGGAGCCCCCCGGCGACTGTTGATGAGTGCTCAACAACAGTATCAAACCTGAACGGGTTAGTGACGGGAGCACGAGAGGGACGGAACCACGAGAGGGCCGGGAGCACGAGAGGGACGGGGGACGGGAGCGCGAGAGGGACTGGAGCACGAGAGGGACGGGAGCACAAGAGGGACGGGGAGCAGGGACGGGAGCACGAGAGGGACGGGAGCACGAGAGGGACGGGAGCACGAAAGGGACGGGGAGCACGAAAGTGACGGGAGCACGAAAGGGACGGGGAGCACGAGAGGGACGGGAGCACGAGAGGGACGGGAGCACGAAAGTGACGGGAGCACGAGAGGGAAGGGAGGACGGGGGACGGGAGCTCAGGGGAAGTGCAACAGGGCCGCAGCACACACACCCGGTGGCACCAGGAGCAAGGGGCCCTAACGCAATCGGCAAAGGCGTAGACTTCGAAGTGCCGGGGGACAGGCTGGAGTCCAGGCTGCGCCGTGCTTCCGGGAGCTTGGGCGAACGAGTACCCACCACCAACAGAGCAAACTTCCCCTTCCTGGCAGAGCACACTTCCCCTTCCTGACAGAGCACACTTCCCCTTCCACTTCCTGACCTTCCTGGCAGAGCACACTTCCTGGCAAAGCACACCTTCCTCACCACACTGGCAGAGCACACTTCCCCTTCCTGGCAGAGCACACTTCCCCTTCCTGGCAGAGAAAACTTCCCCTTCCTGGCAGGCAAGCCAGTATCAAACGGAGTAAGCTGACTCACATTCTTTCCCCCTTCACGCCCTCCAAAGCTGACTCACATCCCTTGCCCTTCACGCCCCTTCCCCCTTCACGCCCCGGTGGGAGCCCAAAGCTGACTCGCGCCCCTTCCCCCTTCGCACCCCCGAAGCTGACTCGTGCCCCGGTCACTGTTGATGAGTGCTCAACAACAGGGATCCCAAAGCTGACTCGCGCCCCTTCCCCCTTTTCCCCTTCGCACACCCCCAAAGCTGACTCGCGCCCCGGTGACTGTTGATGAGTGTTCAACAACAGGGAGCCCCCCGGTGACTGTTGATGAGTGTTCAACAACAGGGAGCCCAAAGCTGACTCGCGCCCCTTCCCCCTTCGCGCCCCCGAAGCTGACTCGCGCCCCGGTGACTGTTGATGAGTGTTCAACAACAGGGAGCCCCCCGGTGACTGTTGATGAGTGTTCAACAACAGGGAGCCCAAGAGCTGACTGACAGAGCACACTTCCTGGCAGAGCACACTTCCTGACAGAGCACACTTCCTGACAGAGCACACTTCCTGGCAGAGCACACTCTTCCTGCACACTTCCTGGCAGAGCACACTTCCTGACAGAGCACACTTCCTCCCCTTCCTGACAGAGCACACTTCCTGACAGAGCACACTTCCTGACAGAGCACACTTCCTGGCAGAGCACACTTCCCCTTCCAGACAGAGCACACTTCCTGGCAGAGCACACTTCCCTCCCTGACAGAGCACACTTCCTGGCAGAGCACACTTCCCCTTCCTGACAGAGCACACTTCCGGTGAAAACAGAGAAAAACGGACCACCACCGGGCTCCAAAACTGATGTGGGTATGTGTGAAAACAGAGAAAAACGGACCACCACCGGGCTCCAAAGAAAAACGGACCATTACCGGGCTCTAAAACTGATGTGGGTATGGGTGAAAACAGAGAAAAACGGACCACCACCGGGCTCCAAAACTGATGTGGGTGTGGGTGAAAACAGAGAAAAGCCACCGGGCTCCACCACCACCGGGCTCCAAAACTGATGTGGGTATGGGTGAAAACAGAGAAAAACGGACCACCACCGGGCTCCAAAACTGATGTGGGTATGAGTGAAAACAAAAAAACCGGACCACGACCGGGAAAACTGATGTGGGTATGGGTGAAAACAGAGAAAAACGGACCACCACCGGGCTCCAAAACTGATGTGGGTATGGGTGAAAACAGAGAAACCACCCACCGGGCTCCAAACTGATGTGGGTATGGGTGAAAACAGAGAAAAACGGACCACCCACCGGGCTCCAAAACTGATGTGGGTATGGGTGAAAACAGAGAAAAACGGACCACCCACCGGGCTCCAAAACTGATGTGGGTATGGGTGAAAACAGAGAAAAACGGACCACCACCGGGCTCCAAAACTGATGTGGGTATGGGTGAAAACAGAGAAAAACGGACCACCACCGGGCTCCAAAACTGATGTGGGTATGGGTGAAAACAGAGGAAAACCAAAACTGATGTGGGTATGGGTGAAAGCAAAGAAAAACGGACCACCACCGGGCTCCAAAACTGATGTGGGTATGGGCTGATGTGGGTATGGGTGAAAACAGAGAAAAACGGACCACCACCGGCTCCAAAACTGATGTGGGTATGGGTGAAAACAGAGAAAAACGGACCACCACCGGGCTCCAAAATTGATGTGGGTATGGGTGAAAACAGAGAAAAACGGACCACCACCGGGCTCCAAAACCACCACCGGGCTCCAAAACTGGGTGAAAACAAAGAAAAACGGACCACCACCGGGCTCCAAAACTGATGTGGGTATGGGTGAAAACAAAGAAAAACGGACCACCACCGGGCTCCAAAACTGATGTGGGTATGGGTGAAAACAGAGAAAAACGGACCACCACCGGGCTCCAAAACTGGTGGGTAAAACAGAGGGCTCCAAAACTGATGTGGGTATGGGTGAAAACGAGAAAAACGGACCACCACCGGGCTCCAAAACTGATGTGGGTATGGGTGAAAACAGAGAAAAACGGACCACCACCGGGCTCCAAAACTGATGTGGGTATGGGCGAAAACAGAGAAAAACGGACCACCACCGGGCTCCAAAACTGATGTGGGTATGGGTGAAAACAGAGAAAAACGGACCACCACCGGGCTCCAAAACTGATGTGGGTATGGGTGAAAACAGAGAAAAAACGGACCACCACCGGGCTCCAAAACTGATGTGGGTATGGGTGAAAACAGAGAAAAACGGACCACCACCGGGCTCCAAAACTGATGTGGGTATGGGCGAAAACAGAGAAAAACGGACCACCACCGGGCTCCAAAACTGATGTGGGTATGGGTGAAAACACCACCGGGCTCCAAAACTGATGTGGGTATGGGTGAAAACAGAGAAAAACGGACCACCACCGGGCAGAGAAAACCGGACCACCACCGGGTGGGCTCCAACACTGATGTGGGTATGGGTGAAAACAGAGAAACACGGGAGCCCATTTAATGGTTCACCACCCATAGAACCGAGTTTAGTAGGGAGTGGTTGATGTTCGCTGGGGGGTCGATTTGGATCTTGACCCATGGCCATCTTTGCCCTCGTCGGTGGTTTGGAGCTCGGTGGCTTGGTGTTCCGGGGGTAGTAAAACCCGAATCAACTGTTCTTGGTTGTCCAGAATTCATCTTCACCCAAATCAAGTGTTTCTGTTTATCCAATCAATCTTCCTCATCACTTTGGGCCATCGAAGACCAAACGGCATAACTATTGCATGGCTCCCAGGTTTTGCCACAGCTCTGAGACAGTATATACTGGATATTGCGATAAGTTTGCTGGTGCAATAGGCAGGGAACGAGCAAACACCATCCAACGGGTGGTTTCCTTTTTTCGGGGACCCAGGTTCAATCCCTCATTCCCTACGGCCCTGAGCACCGGCAAGTCTATCTTCCTGGTTGGTTTTCGAGCTCTGTGGTGATGTGGCTATGACCTGGGTCAGAAGTTGGCTTCCTCCTGATTGATGCTTTAGAGCTCAGTGCTTTGGTGGTGTTCCGGGGGTAGCAAAACCCATTTACCCTCTCCTGGGAATCAAATCCCCAATGTGGCTTGGAGCCCGATTTGGAGGTGCTCCGAAAATAGTGTCCATTTACCCGCCAGAACCAGGGGTTCAACTCCGGATCCGAACCGCCAACTAAACAACCAGCCAAGGGGTACCTGAGATGTGTGAGGGCAGGCAAAGCTTAGGTCGGTTTGCTCAACAATAGACGGATGGGCCAACTTGATTCCACTGCTTTCAGCTTTGGCTCTAAAATCTTAATGACTACCGGGGCCATCTTTTTCGAAAGGGACACTAAAGTTCGGCTCATGGCAAAAAGCGCTTCGGTGTTGCAACACGTTCCAAAAAACAAAACTATTGTCCAGGCAGCGACCCCCAAAGCCGCTTCCCGAGCCTGATGGAACTCGACTTGGTGACTTGTGCGTTTGATATGTGTGAGTCAAAACTAAACCAGGAATCGGACCGCAGGTTTTAGTCCAAGTTTCCATTTACCAGGACAAGCCATTTTGGATACCATTTTTTTAAGCCACACCCATGTGGGGAACTTCGATCAACTCCACCTCGTCGATCCTCAGCATGCCGCGGAAGGAGCCGTTCATGTCTTCCTGTTGAGACGAAGCCACGCCCAGTCATCGGGCTGTGGGTCAAAAATAGGGTAACCCAAAATGGAACCCTGGTAAATGGAAACATGGACTAAAACCTGCGGTCCCCTGGTAGTTTAATTTTGACCCATACCCATCTCAGTCTCTCTTTGGGCGGTCCTGTTGTGAGCTGAACAAGGAGGAAAAGCACATTTTGAGGCACCTGTCGTCTCCCTTACCCTTGCAATGTCATATTATACCATGACTTTTATGACTATCAGATAATCCTCCAACTGAAACTTTTCTCAAACAATCTTGTGCAGATTTGGCTCTAAACATGTTGGCGTACACCTCTCGTGACATGGGTCCGTCGGGTTGCTGGGTGTCCGCCTGAAACTGGCTGAAATCCATGGTCCGATGTCACCTGTTAAAGGTTCACTGATGAGATGGCTTAGCTAGCAGGGGCCGGGCGTGCACCCGGATGATGCACGCGAAACATGGCCCCAGTGTTGCAGAAATCAACGGTCAGGAGTCGCCCCGAAAATTGATCATTTCACAAACCTCAGATCAAACAATCAATACCAGCAGCTAACATTGTCAGGATCCTTCAATTATCACATCCATTTCGCGCCAACACAACACGTGTATCTGGAACTGTAGCGTCTAGGGCAAAATGATCTAGAATCTAAAGCTAAGGTTGCTCAAGAAAATGTTGGAAAGCGTGCGGCTCACAACCTGCTTGCTAGGGAACTGTTGCCCATCATGAACCTGGGTTCGCACATCAATCTCGTCAGACGAATACCTCCATTGGCCAAAATCAACCGTTGCGGCCAAGACAGCCCCTTTTGGGACGCGGGTGCGGCCTTGATTTGAAGGGGATAGCAACACTGGGCTGTCCGCTTTTCGACCTCCTGCTAAAGTTTAACTTTTAGTGGGTTACACAGAAACCCGACCACTAAACCAACCAAAAACATTAAAAACCTAAGGAACAGGATGGCTGGATATGGCTGGGAACCACCCAGAAAGATGAGCCCACCCCACTAAATAAAGCGACAAACAAACAAAAACAACATCCTCAGTGGGTTGGCCAGTCCAAACTTTTTGTTTACTCCTAGAATGGTCCAAGCCCAAAAATGCTTACAGTCCAAGGAACTCATCATGAACGACCCATGTTTGCTTGCGTACGCGGCCTCCCCAAGGAAGAGGCGCCGGAACTCCTCCACCTGCGGGATGGTGCGCAAAACTGACGCCTCGACGTCCGGCTAAGTGAGCAATACTGTGGGTGTTCCCTCCAAAAGTGATGAATCCCCACTAAAAGGGGACACCCCCCTATTAGTCAACCAGAGGTTGAAATAACTAAAGCAGCTGCCCAAGCATATGTTCAAAGGGGGCGGTACAGGAAAGTCCCACAAAGTTAATACTGTGGGTGGACGAACTGCACCACTTTGAAACCATAGCAAAGCATTGTTTGTTGGTATTTACAGGGGAAGCATCACCCCAGGACTTTTAGGTGGTGCAGGATTTCGTCCATCCACAGTAGCACCTGGTCGTTGAAATGGCTGTGGTTGTCAGAAGAAGTCCAGGCTTTTTGTTTACCACTAAAATGGCGCACATATGGCTGCGGGTCAAAAGCAGGGTAAAATGGCTTGCCAAAACGGTAAATGGAAACATGGATTAAAATTAGCGGTCCGGTTCCTGGTGGTTTAATATTGACCCACACCCAAATTGCTGCAACTCTCAGGATTGCCGAACTCACAACAGAATGCAGCATGGCTCGCTGTCCATACAATACTGAAGGCAATCTGATGAACCTGCAACAAACATAGACACGTGAGTTGCCCTCCTACCCTACTGTAAGGCCTGCTTGCTGCCTCAGCCCCATGCCAGCCTCTGTGTCAAAAACATGCTTGCTGCAACACTGGCCTTCTGCAGTTCTGCAGGTGATGCGATCAAGGCATGCCCTTCTGCACCATTGAAAGCTACCTTCGGCAATTCAAACAAATGATTGTTTTTTCACGCATCATGCCGCGGAGCCCTCATCGTCAAGCATGATTGTGTAAGCAGCTGGGCACATTTCTTTGACACAAATAACGGGGTGGATCTTTGTCGAGGTTAGCCCTTCAACTTGAGACCCTCTGAACCCGGTTCAGTTCTAAATTTGACAGAAAGAAAGCGGCAGCCCATGAAACCAGCCCATGCCAATCGCAAGCCCACGAGAAGCTGGCAAAGATTTGCATACGCGACCAAAACACTCTCGTTAGACAACCAGGCCTTCAACAGCGTTGAAGGACGGACGCAAGCAAAAGGCAAAAATTGCCATCCTGGTTTAGCCCGTGCATCGTCAGTGCTGTGTGTACTTTAATTGCTGGACCCCAAACATCCAAGCACTTGGAACATGCCCAATGAAATAGCTCCGGGAAGCAGCAAAGACGGGTTGAGCAACAAATTAAGAATCTGAAACCACATTGAGTGTTGAGACGCCTTGAGCCTGGAGCCAGCTTGGACAATTCTCCGATTGTTGCCATGGGGCCATCAGTTCTTAGCCTGGGGCCGTCGTTTGAGTGTTTGTTTTGTTTGTGGGTGGGGGGCAGAGGTGCATTCAAACGTAAACTAACACAATACCGACGAATTCAAAAGAATTCAATGCACGCATGTTTGATGGTCATCATAATCAATTATTATAATCATCATGATCGTCATCAATAATAGTAATAATAATAATTGGCACCGTCAATCATGCATCATCCATCATCTATCCTCCATCATCATCCATCATCCATCATCATCCATCCTCCATCATCATCATCATCATCATCATCATCATCATCATCATCACCATCATCATCATCAGCATCATCATCATCATCATCAGCAGCAGCAGCATCATCAATCATCATCATCTTCTTCATCAATCATCATCAACATCTTACTTATCAATCATCATAATCTGTTTCATCATCATCATCATCATCATCAGCATCATCATCATCATCATCATCATCATCATCATCATCATCATCATCATCATCATCATCATCGTCATCATCATCATCATCATCATCATCATCATCATCATCTGTTTCATCAATCGTCATCATCATCTTCTTCATCAATCATCATCATCATTTTCTTCAATCATCATCATCAATCATCGTCATCATCATCATCTTCATCTGCATCTTCATCTACATCATCATGAGCGTCATGATCAGCATCATCGTCATCGTCATCTTCATTTTCCTGATGCTCATCCTCTTCCTCTTCCTCATCCTCATCAGACAAGAAATCAGTTTTAGGTTGCAAACTTCTTCCTTGTCTTTTCTTCCAACAGCTCTGGCCAACCAATGTGCACCTAGAGTTGCTAAGTGAAGCAGTACAGACCCACCAAGATCAAACACAGCGTCATCGATCGGCCTCCCGCGAGGAAAAGTTGGTCTTCTCTATGGCAAAGCTCTCCTGCGGACGAACTTCCCGTGGAACATTTCGTGTCAAACATGTCACATGCGTCCATTCACCTGTGTGCAGAGAACCAAGGGGGCCACCCTTTGAAAACCCAAAGCAAAACATGGCCGCCTACCTAGTAAAGTGCGGATCCAGTGCGGTAGGCGAAGAACAACTAACATGGAGAACCTTATCAAAAACACATTGGCACGGAAGGCATGACACTGCCCGACATGTCCAGCACGGCACATGGGCCTGGCTTGCACCAGGCAGCTGCATGCTTGGATTTTTATCCAGCTGTGAAGGAATCCCCCCCCCCAGTTATTGTTCTTGGCTTCTTGCCACCTGTGCATCTTTAAAAGGGGCGCACATCACAGTACGGACCACACCAGCAACCTAAGTCACGTGCAGGATTGCTTCGACCAGCACAGGACACGGCCTGCCAAGCATCTCCCGGGGCCTGCACCATCTGGTTCTTCAAACGGTTTTCCTATCAGAAATGGCAAAGAATTGCTTGCACCATTTAGGTTTTGGGGTGTCTCTTTCTTGGGTTTCCCCCCTCAAAATGGGTAGGCTTCCTTCTGCTTCCCCGAATAAAACCGGTGTAACCTGGGTGCTGCTCTGTGAGGTTTCGGGCTGGGGGCTTCCCATGTCCACCTGTGTGCGTGCGACTTTCTTTTGTACCTTTTGTTGGTTTTCAAGGGGAACCCAAAGGAGCACATCAACGATTGTTTTGTTGGGGGTACCTCATCGTTTTTTTTAGGGAACCCCTCCCTGTTTTGGTTGGGGGTGGGCTCACTGCAAAAAGGGACGCCAATGTGCTTCTTGCCATGAATGCGAACCAGGTCTGCTCCAGACGTAGCTAGGAAAACCTGAGGGGTGACAGCTAAACTCAAAAGAATATTCCAACGGAGGACGCAAGGAAGGACTATCAACCAACTTTTCATTGTGGCAAATCGGATTGTCTCCTTGGATGTTCGGCCAAGTTAGTGGCTAGCCACTTGGATTCTAACCCACCAGTGGCAGGCTTCACCTTTGGGGGGTTTGTAAGTGGGCTACGACCTCGCACTTCCCGAGTTCTTGGATATTTTTTTTCGCGTTTTAAGAAGGCCAGTTTAGTGGTACACAAAGGTGTTATTTTAGCATTTTAGTGGTACACAAAAGTGTTTTTTTTTTTTCTTTCGGCCAATCCACTCGATCGGAAGTGAGACCTAGGTTCCCAATTGCCAAGAACTTACTATCTTTCTAGGGGTACCTTCCAATTTCATTCTGAACCCAGGGATCCGAATCTTTTCAGGAAACCAGCAAAAACCCAGGAAAAAACGGATCCGCTTTTTGAAAAGAACGATGGTTGAAAAGCCCTAGAATCTGGGCCAGCCACACCCTTGCCGTACTGTTCGCTGGGCTCCTTTGCCATGCGGATGCGATCCTGCATGTCATCCACCTGACGCATTAGCCTGCGAGCAGGGCGAATGCAAAATCCCGGGCCCTGACCTTCCGATCCCAGATACTGATTTGGTTGACGAACGGTGCAGTACTGGCCAAAATATTATATATCTATTAATCTATGTAATTCAAACACAGAATCTGTGCTGTATGTTGCAGCATGTTCTCTCACATGCATTTTACACCAGCACCGTCAACATCCCCAGCATCGCTTTTTCACACACCCCAGCATCACCAGCTGCACCCCCAGCATCACCAGCGTGTTGCTCTTTTAGGTTGATGTCAAGTTGGATTAGGCAACAGGGTGGGTTCGGGTAGGATAGGTCGGGGGGGTTCGGGTGGGTTTAGGGTTGGCATAGCGGGGGTTAGGGTTGGTATAGGGTTTGCTTCAGTTGGTTTGGGGTGGGTTTAGAGTTAATTTTCGCATGGTTTAGGCATGGCTTCGTGCTGGTTCTTTTTTTTGTAGCTGGGTGTGTGCTCAGGAGAAGGGTTTGCTTAAGGCGTTTGTTTCAATGGTTCCGCGCAGAGGGCCATGGGAGTCCCAACACTTCTACTCACTTCCGGAGTGGATTGGCAAACAAAAGAGATGAACTTCTCTTTTGGCACTAAAGTGGTCCAGATCCCAAAAGTTTCGGGTCCAGGAACTCAGGACGTAAGATTGCTTTGTAGCTTTGGCCGTGGCCAGCCTATGTTTGTCACTCCCACTTTCACTTTGACTTCATCACATTGCCCTGTCGGAGCCGAGCTCTCATTTCGTGTGCGAACTGGCAAAGACATGTTTGGAATATTTCGGGAATTCCAGGACTTCCAGGAAATTCAGGGCTTTGCTTCCAGAATTTCTGCAATTCCTGCAGGTATTCTAGGAAATTCAGGAATGATGCGGGTACTGCTACATGTCAAAGGTTGTGGAGGTGATCGCTACCGAGTCTGAGAGATTTGGTCATCCCACCGAGCAACTACCACCGGAACAATTGGAAGGTTAGAAGCCAACGCAGCGATGTACTTCGAAGCTCTTGGATCACCCCCGGCGTTGAACATGGCCCTGGCCTCAAGAACACAGGTGACCTTTTAGAAAAATCGGCTTGGGTTCCCTGGGAAATGGATGGCATAAAACCAATCTAAACCAGTGGAGCCCATCCTTTTCTTACTTAACTAACCGAAAAAGGACACCAAGGCCTAAGAATTTCCATGGCATGGTGCCTGAGAAAACGTCATCTCAATCTGTCGGTGGGCAACAAAGTCACGCTTTCCTGGCACAGGCTTCTTCAAAATGCTGCCAACCAAACCCGTCCTTTCTGAGAAGTCATTTATTCCTATGCGCTGCTCAAAGAGATTCCTGGAGAATCTCAAGAACCAACTGGATTTCAGGAAAAAACAAGAAAACAACAGAAAAAAACAACGCGTGCTCAAACGGATCCTCGAGACTAGCGCATCAGCTGCAAGAGACGGCAGTCTTCAGCCGTTAGGCCTCAAGAAGTCGGGGAAGTCGAAGGAGCCGTGCTTGGGGGGCGCCACCTTCGCATCGTTCCGTGCCGAAATCCGGGCTCAATGCATCGTTCCGAATGTGTGGTCAGGAAATGTCATGAAGTCTTCTGGAACATTGTGATCAACTCATGGAACGGATCCAATTAACAAAACCTTACTTGAGGGTGTTCCTCAATAAATTTTGAATTGGTCGTCTACCTGGACAAGAAAAAAGGCCAGAAGGGACACCGCTGCGCTGGAGAACGGGACGCTGGCGACCCACCACTGCGTGTCAAAGGCCGGGCAGTCATCCTGATTGACCCTGATTGAGTGATGCCACGATGGACCAGCCACGTCTCCGAAGGAGGTCCCCAATCAATAAGTCATGGGCGAAGCTGGCCTCTGCGCTGATCATCCCCGAATCCCAGCTTCGCCGTTCCCCAGTAGCTTCAGGATGTGGGACGGAGCCAGCGCAGGCCATTCATTTCCCGCCCCCCCCCCCCCCCCGCAAAAAAAAAAAAACTGTTCCTGCATAGTGGCGGGGGGGGGGAAGAGCCAGCATATGCCATTCCCCCAATTCAAAGAGAACTGTTCGTGCATCCTTTTCTCTTTGCTACACTTAGTTCAAGCTTGCAGCTGCAGCCAAGTACAGCACGCAATGCTCGCGAACTGCAGACGCAATGCAGCAAAAAACCGCCAAAGCTGACAAAGCTGACAAGTCCGTTTCCCTTCAGATACCCTATCTCACTAGCCTTTGTGCGGGTGCCCTCATCTTACCTGTGGGTCAACCCTTCTTCTAAAAGGACGTGCTTGAGATTACACACGCGTGGATGGACTCCCCAGCGTTTGCTGTCAAGCATTACCTTTCAAAGGAAGCTTCGAAGGAACCTCCGTGGTACGGCAACTATTTGAAAGCTAGCTCTCTGACAGAGAACAAAAGAATAAACACGCACGCAAACATGTGCTCGCGTCTGGTGGTGAAATAAAAATCTCCTCAAAGTGCAGCCCCCGGGATTCAGTTCCTTTGGATGCTCGAAAGTTCGGCTGATCGCGGCGCCTCGGAAGGATCTCGGTTCGGTGTGGAGATTTCGCCGTGCAGCACATCGCAGGTCGCAGCGCTTGGGCTAAGTCAGGTTGCAGAATTCGTGGCTGGCGCAGCACTTTTCAGCCGCCCCCCCCTGTTTCAGTCCACCTTGCAATCAGTAGCACTCAGGGGCCAACCGGCAGTCAGTTGCCGCCCCGAAAACCTGCGCCTCCGAGAGAATCCGCGTGATCTCCGCGCGCTTGGCCATGTTGGTCGCCAGGTCCGGGCACAGATCCTGGCGAAATGTCGTGGTTTTTTGGTTGCAGAACTCCAGCAGAGGGCAAACACCTGGCAAACCTCGGAAAAAGGTGCGTGATCTTGGCCAAAATCTCGTGCCAACCTGTCTACAAAATCGAATTTTGTGCGAGTTTGGTGCCGCAAGGCTCCGGCTGAGGGTGCTACCGTGGTGGGACAGTTCTGATTTGGACCTAGCAGGGTCGATCACAAAATGAGAAAACACTATTGGAGGAAAGAGACAGCGACCTGTGCAGATCTGACAAAACCTCTTGGACATGGGAGATTCGCCAGTCTTCCGTGTTTACATCAAGCCACGCGGACGAGACAAGTAAAGTTTGGCCTCATCTTGGGTCAAAATTCCGTGGCTCAACCCTGGGAGTCAAGCGCATGGGCATGCTTTCTTTGCAAAAGGGGTATGGGTCAAAATGAATAGTTGTGCATAGTTGCTTGGTTTGAATATATATATATAATGCATATACTGCAGCTGCTGGCACGTTTTAGTCACCAGACAAGAAGAAGAGCAACGTGTGAAGTAATTGAGTAACAGTGCAAGACAACAGGGTGGTATGTCCATTCATGTCCATTGTGTGCAGCATATGTTTAACACTGCAGCACCGAGGAATGGGTTGCCCCTCTGCCAGAACATGAATACGAGGTCACTCAACATCTGGCAAACCGCAAACATTGGCCACTTCAAATAACATTTCACCAGCTGGGGGCTGGGATTCTGACGATTTTGATTTCCCTCAGTCTGTGGGACCTTAAAGCATCCTGATCCAAACAAACTCAAAATACAATACACATCAAGCAACTCTTGTGCCAGCCTGTCTATAGGTTCAGGACACGAAGCCACAGTGACTGTGGCAAGTGTCTTTGCAACAGAGTGTCTTGAATGGCGAACATTCAGCACGCCATGTGGATGGAAGAAACAGCAGGCCAAATCCCAACAATAAGGAAGTTCAAGTGTGAACAAAGTTGACACGACTTGCATTCAGGAACCTGTACCTTGACGTCAGAGTGAATGCTAGAGGTCCCAAAAGCCCGCACTTTGTCACATCATGAGATACTTGTGTTGGCCACAGGTTGTGCCAAGGATCATGCACCATGTCCATGTCTCGCAGTGTGCCATGTGGCATAAACAGCAACAAGCAGCATTATGAAGGCGCAGTTGGAGGAGTACCATACCCCGAGGAAGTCGTCAGAACCTTCAACTCTTTTAGAAGGGGTGCCTACAAAGGGTTTTGAAAATTGTTCGTGGGCAAGTGGGCCCGAATGATATATGCCTAGGTCTGCCCTCCTGCACCAGCTTGGACATCTCATAGTTGTCAATGTCGCCGCTCTTGTTCACGTCGTATTTGGCGAACCTGGGCGTACGGGAAAGGAATGCTGAGGCAGGTAGCTCGCAAGGCCAAGGACCTTGCCCCAGCTTCATAGAGGAGACACCCAACAAATAAAAGCCAGGGAAAGGGCATCACTCAGATTTTGCACAAGTGGATCTGACCGAACTATTCTCACAGAGCGACAAAGGCAGATGATGATGATGATGATGATGAGGCCTGTGAGTCAAAAATAGGTACCCAAAATGGCTTGCCCTGGTAAGTGGAAACATGGACCAAAATCTGCGGTTTTCTGTTGGTTTAATTTTGACCCACACCCATGATGATGATGATGATGATACGCCACGATTGGCCACGCAATGGGTCCTGGAGTCCTAGATCAAAATTGGAGCCCCAATCAGAGTCTCCCGGGAAAGTTTTGCACAACAAGCAATGTGATCAATATTTCCTAGGTCCCCGTGTAGTGCCCTTTTACCGTTTCTTTTTTTGGGAAGGATTCCCCTACTAAAAGAGACTACAGAAAAAAATCGGGTACCAACTTATTCTCACCTCTCTACTGGAGGACCTAGTTTCAATAGGCAATCTCAGACCTATAATATAGGCTATGTGTATGCGTGCACAGATACACGCAATCACATATCATCCCCCCATCCCATGTCTGAACAACGCTTACTTCTCCACTTGCGGAGGTACAATGACAACCTTGCCCCATACTGGAAGCAACAAATCGCTTATCATTCGCCCCTGGGACCAAGGCGCTGCAAAGCAAACCTGCCATCAGAACCTAAAGGCTTGGGCTGCAAAACATGCAAGTGGGAATTAGGAGCCGCTGCTACCGTGGGTTTCATTGGCTGCATTGGGAAGCATGTGCACACCTGCTGACATGTCGAACACAAAGCCGTGCAAACAACAAAACCGGGCACCAACAGAAACAACGTAAAGAGATCCTCCAAGAATCTTAATGACCACGAGGAAGACTTTAGGCAAATCGGCACCCGAGACTGCACAACTCAGGCTCGCACGTCTCTCGCATGCGTTGACATTCGTCCAATGTGTACCTGGGTGCTACAAACTTGAGTGCTTCTCAAAATTGGGTCCCGTAAAATGGCACAGCACACGCACACATTCAAATATGAAGTGTCTCTGACTTTGTGTACAGCCGGCTTCTCTTGCAGGGATGATTCTGCCGCTGCTTGTGGGTGAATCAGTAAGTCCCGGCAATCTTGCTCAACCACAGCATTGTGGGTGTTTGGGAAGACACATCGCGACAACAAGCTATGCTAAAAGCAGCAGCAAAAATCCCTGAACGGATACCTGCGTTCAAGACGCGCAGGCTTACTCCCTAAAGATCTTGGTTGGACATGTCAAGACAATTTGGAACAGTTTGTTTGCTGAAATAAGGCTCGATCGACTTCAACTAAACATCATTCTGCGTCCTCCGGCGGCCACGAGCAAGGAACGGCCTGTGCCTTCTTGATTCTTTGATTCCCAGTAGTCAAATACAAATACCGCAACTCCGCGACACATCATCCACTTAACAGCGACTAAGTCAAGAAGGAAGTAAGGACGGAAGCGGAAAAGGGCACCAAATAACTGAACAACAGCCATGGGCCGGAAGCCTTCGGGGACACGGGTGACAGAAGTATGGCTGCTTCGCAAGTATGGCAACACATGTTGTCATTACCTAGGTCCTCCAGTAGAGAGGTTATAGTAAGGGTACCTTGTTTTTCTGTAGTCTATTTTAGTAGCGGAACCCTCCCCAAAACTTCTGTTATGTTGATTCAATTCTCAGCCTGCGTGTGGATGAATGCACTTCTTGGGGCATATTATGATGGCAGATGCAAGTGTCCATCAGCAAAGTGTGTTGGACCCACGTGATTGCTGAATGTGCTGTGGGAATGCCTCTGCGAATCTGGCAGATGAGGGGGAGAGAAAAAGCTGCCCTCTGTACCAGTTTGCACTGTTGCGCCTTGCACGAAAGGTTGTTGCCCTGCCACGTGCCTCCATACACCTTTGAGAGGTCCTGGAGTGTTGCACTTGCTGCGTAAACTCAGGCTGGTGCACCATGCCGTGACGCATGTGACGCTTAAGCGCTCAGTTGCGCAATTACGTAACTTTGAGGTACCCAGTCGGTGAGATGTGCAACCATATTTACGTCAAAATATCGCGGAACCATCTTGATCAAGGCCTCTTGAATTCTCTTCAACTGTTGCCCTTACACTAGTAGCCAAACATTGGGTCTCGCGCGTACAGTTGGACAATGGGTAATTGTGCCAACAAATAGTGTGTCAATGATCACTTCCATTTGCTTAAGCCCCCTGGAAAAAATATGTCCAGTAGTGATAGACTCCTTTTAAAACCAAGATGGGAAAACAACACATATTCTTAGGCAATTTAAAGCTCACTACTCGCCCTCGAACCTTGCCGCTTTGAATTTACCAAGGCCGCTTGGAGAACTGTTTGACTTTGGGCCATGGGCCCTTGTGAACAGCGTTCACTGGCATGGCACTTGAAAGGCTGGTGAACGAAAGCTAGCCAGTCCAACGACATGTGCGACTCAGTGGCAGCCAAGATATTTATTAAGAATAGCAACCGATGAGGACCCAGAAAGTGATTTCATATTTGAACCAGGTCGGAATGAAAAAAACAAACCTAGCACAAACAATCGCAAACATGTGGACTAGATTATGAGACTGTGCTGGTGTGCCCCCCCAAAAAAGAAATGCTAAATTTGCTTTAAAGAAAAAAACTCAAAGCCAGGCATAGCTTTCGTGATCAATCGAGCTGTTTCTTTTGGTTTCCCACCCCTCCGCACGCCAGTGGTTTTCTTTGAGTCGGCCTAGCGGTTCCCAGCATTCTGAGGCGCCCGACCCGGCATTGTCCCTGCTGGCTTCTTTTGCCTCGCATGCGTGCGCAACCACCTCCAGGCCTTGGAGAGCCTGTGGATCGGAAAAAACCCAGCAACCAAAACCAAGCTTGCGATCGCTGCGAGAAGAAGGGAATGAGAAATGGCATGAACCCAGGGCTCCCTTCAATGGAAACCATCAGTTGGATGCTTTGGCATGCCATTTTTCTCATTCCCTGCATCTCTCGCACCCAGCAAAGTCCAGTTCAGACAGGTTGGAGCCTGCGAACATCAAGCACTGCTTTGGACTTAAACCCAGGATTGGTTGATTTCCCCATTTTGGGGGAACCCTGTGTTTAAGTCCATTTTGGGATTGTCAAAAAAAAGGAACCCTGTTTAAAACTATATCTATCATCACCGTATTCATCATGTTGCCCGTGAGCAGCATCTCTGGTTGTTCAAACCAAGTTTGCCCAAGCTCATTGCTACCTCACAAGATTACACTACCATCAAAGCCTTCCAGCAAGATGTTCTGCGTTGCAAGCGAAGGCCCAGCGAACTAACATGGCCCACGCCGCATCGTTTGGGGTAACACTGTGCGAACAACCATCTGTTCCAATCCAAACAACAAATGCATATCAAATATCGTCATGACTGCATCTGACTCTGTCCAACAGGCTCAAGCCTGGTTCGTTTCTTGCGATCCAGCTGCACAGCTTTACACTGCATTTCTGAAAAAGGTGGTCTTTGCTTGAAGCGAACATGCACGCGAGGGTCAAAATCCCGCCGAATCCCTCAAACTGCGGCCTTTGTTTTGCGATCCTGATAGGAGGGGCACAAAGGGCTATGTTAATCTGCATGCCAACATGTCAGTACCGTCCATCCTGCCTGATACATGAAGACGCAGTAGCATCTGCTCGTACTATTGTCTGCCTTTCATATCTGCTCGCATCCTTTCAAGTAATTCCGCGTCTCAGTAAGCAGCGAAAACAGCTAGCGATTGTAGCCTCGCAGCAAGCTCTTTTCGGCGGATATGCGCGGCGCGTGTTCATCATGTCGTCGCCTGCCTGCACGGCCGCTCGACTCGCGACGGGCCTTCCTTTGGCCTTTCAGGCCACAACCCCCATGAATTCTACAAACGAAATGGGGGTTCACCAACATTCCCAACAAGGCCCCAGCTTTCACCACGGGCATCTTTTCCTGCTTTGTGGGGAAGTCATGTTTTTTGGCGGTTGACAAAATAGGTGTAAAAATGAATCCCGTGCAAAGACACTCAATGGGTACGCCTGGGAAAGGACAAACAAATGAGTATGTTTCACAGCTAGAACGTTGATAAACTTTCCACACGATTCATGATCAAACTTCTCACGTGGGTTCTGGTCACAGTTTCCTGCAAAGGCCAACGAAACATTGTTAACATGACCAGGGTCAACTTCTCGGCATCAAAACCAGGCAGTGGGTTCACAAAGTCTACAGGCCCTGAAGTGAAGCAATCAACACAAAACAGATCGGCCTGCTTTTTTGGTTCGAACGAGGTTACAGGCTTGGCATCACCATTGATGGACCTAATAGACATGGCTCTACAACAACAACTGGGTTGATCCTCGAAAACTTGCAGGTTTGTTGTGGCTGTGATCGCACTGAGGAGCTGCGATGTTTGACGCACAACCTGCAGTGTCCTTTCCTCCAAACCCGCCTAAACATGCCCGAACCCAGTCCAGTACACCCACTTCATAAGAGAAGTACTGTAGCCGAGTGGAATCCGCCAATTTAATTTGAATCTCTGCTAGCCTAGCTAGCAGATTCAGCACAGCTCTTCTGAAAATCGGCGGAGACAAGCCAGTGGCCTACTCAGCGAAAAAATCCAGAACGAGGCGATTGAACTCATCCGCAAACTTCTGGTGGATGTTGTGCTTGCCCTCCTTGCAGGAAGCTGAAGGCAGGTCGGGGTCTAAATTGGGCTATCCAGTGGCATAAGTATGGACCATACTCACAGAAAACCACACGTGCAAACATCTTGCTGCCCAAGTTGCCAGCCATACAGGATCAATCAAATATCAGCCTTGCTGAGCTGATTGTTTTTGTGGCAGACTATAAATAAACAAATACAAATGGCCTCGTTTAACTGTCATTGACCCAAAGATAATGTGCTGAAACATGTGATCAACTCATGTGGCCATCCTTGCATCATGTGTTAAATTATGATGTGCTTGTTTGTCATGAGCTTTGTTATTCGGAATCCTATTCCCACTATCATCATGAGAAGCATCGGAGGTGTTATCAGTGCCATTACTCATCTCGTAGTATTATCATCATCACTATCACTATTTTGCGCCGCTTCTGCTCGGCTGCTCTCACTCCACGTGCTAGAATTGAACCAACAAGCCCTTGCCAACATGACGATCCCTTGCCAACATGACAAGTGACCGTTGGCCAATTGCTCTTCTGTCCACTTCCTGTCCACCTTTGCAGGACTTCAAAGCCAAAGTGAGTTGAACGCATGCAGGAGACCAAGTAGATCCCCCGGTTGCGCGTCCGTTCTGTGGACAAACCCTGATTTGGATAGTTGGACAAACCCCATTTTTTTTGTAAGAGAACAGTATGGCCGGACTGGGAGACGTGAAAAAATGAAAAACCTGAGACTGAAGGAAACTAGGTCCTCCAGTAGAGAGGTTAGAATAAGGGTACCCTTTTTTTTCGGTAGTCTATTTAGTAGGGGAACCCTCCCAACCAAAAAAGTTGGTAAAAGGGCACTACTGGGGGACCTAGTCAATTCTCCGCCCGTGCCCTTCCGGGAGCAACCGGCTTTGGCTTCCCGGCGGGGAAGATGTGAAGCTTGGACCCGGGGATCAAAACGGTGTGGAAGGTCTCGGGATGGTGCTGCGGCACGATGGGGTCCTTGGCCCCGTGCCTCAGTCGACAGGCTCCGCAGTGTCAAACCACCACCGCTCCACAAATAGCTTGCTTATACTTGCTGGTGCGAGATCTCAGCAGGGAATGAGAAATGGAATGACCCTTGATAAACCATCCAACTTGCGGTTTCCTTTAAGGGAATGTCCAGGTTCATTTCCATATTCCCTGAGCACCAGCAAGTATAGTAAGATAGTGGTGGCTCATTTCAGCTGATATCCCATGAAATGGGAACAGGCGCTGCAGAAAACCTGGGCTTGAGCGCGATATACAGTCACTCGGATGTTCGAGCCTCACCTTGGAGAGTGCAAAACCAGGCGGGTCTGTGGTCATGCATCGAACCACGCCTTCCCTTCCTAAGACAGGGGGCACCTCAGCCAAGCCTGGGAAAAAAACACATTCATCAGAGCAACCTCACGGCGACATGTCCACATGCGAATAGCGCGAATTTTCACGTCTCCCCTTGCCTGAAAGCGCTGACGGTGTGTAAACGTGGGAAAGTCCAAACATGCTGGACGCCCTTTTGGAAGGTGGGTCAAGGGGGAACAAAGAACATCAAGCATGTTCAGGGGATTCCTGTTTCTGGATTTACCCAAATGCCACGCATGAACTCTTCAGCTACTAGAGCGATTCATCCCCCAAGCGAGGGTTGCAAACGTGGACTAGTGGTTGCTGGCGGAATTTTCATCAATCCAGGACGACACCCTCGGATGACAATTCTGGGATCCGGCAACGATGATTTGAGTTTGGACCTGACTCATCCGGGTGGATCCGCAGAGTTCAATCATTCGCCAATCAGACATGGACTCCAAAATTAGTTTCAATCAACATCTCGATGAAATCCCATTGGTGAGGTTGCTACTTGCAACCAGGCACTGAAAGGCAAATTTCCTCGAAAAAAATGGGCTGACTCGCCCACATCCATTTGCTTTACTCCCCTGCGACAAAAAAACATATTTGCAGTAGTGATAGATTCGCTTTAAAACCAACAGTAGGGGAAAGTATATAATAATAAAGAAAACACATCTTAAGCAATTGGAAGGCAATCAGGGAATCTGCAAAATCTTGTCGGGCATTGGTGCCGTTTCTCGCCATGCCAAGCTGGACTCAAGCCGCAAAAAAGGCGCTTCGCTCTCCCTAAGGATCTCTTTTTGGGCTGTTGGCTTGTTACCCCAACGGCAAACATAATAATAAATCATAGGACCAACTGGTGGCCCCCCATTTTCGCGCTTGAACCTCTTCATAACTCGCGCGCATATGCCAAAAAGCGGAGGCTCCTTCTGTTGATTCTGCAGGAGCCGCTAAAAGATAAGCGCGGGAGGACCAAGCATGAGTCCTCTAATTACACTTTGTGTTTGCCGTTCAGCTGAAGGGATTGCCAAAACAAGACCCGGAACTAGCAAGGAGCTTCAATGCTTGTGGCTCTATTGCCCTCCCGCTCCCAAAACAAACAAGCGGCACCTCTCGTACTCTTCCTGTACCTTCCCCGTAAAGAGGTTCTCGTCTCCCCGTTCTGGGCGCGCGGCAGAATCAGCGTGGGGCACTTCACCTGCTTCGCCTCTTTCTGGCACATGTCCCCACCCGCATCGTACATGGCCTTCATCGCCTGTGGCGGAGCATTTGTTCCAAACAGCATACCCACAAAACGGAGTCCCAAAGAAAAATATTTAGCCGAAAATAAACATTTGCGTGTGTGTGTGTGTGTGTGTGTCAGTGTGAGTGTGAGTCCCAACCCCTTAGCACCAGAACAACGCGTTGAGGAAGAGGGAACACTCTGATTACCTGCTTCCACCAACATGGAACCTGCAAAAATATGGAGCCTGAGCAACATCCCCCCCAGCCAGACCCCAAATTGAAAAAAGACCAAACTGGGTGCGTACGTCAGGCTTCATGTCGGTGGGGTTGGCTTGCTGCCATATGCTTACTTGTCCATACGTTGCGGGTACAGGGCAGAGTGAACCTACTGAGAGAAGCGGTCATTGGACTTCTGCTACAAGGTGTTCAGGTGGTGCCCAGGCTTTTTCCCGAAGCAATGTAAAGCTTAGATCATGACAATGATTAAACAGACGATCAGTTTTGCGCGAAGCAAACATGGGATCCCTTTGGTGGAAGGGTTCGATTTCGAAGGTCCTGCTGGAAGTGAGC